TGACAAACTAATATAAACAAGACGGCATTTTCCATGGAGGGAGGACACTTTGAGTTTGTAAGAATACCATTTGGCCTTACAAATGAACATGCCACTTTCCAAAGGATTATGGATAACGTTTTGGACGACCTGAATGGCATATGTTGTCTTATATATATAGACGATATAATAATATTCTCTACATCTTTAAAGGAACATATTAAAGATTTAAAAGCAGTCTTTAAAAAATTAAATAATGCTAACCTTAAACTGCAACCAGGAAAATCTGAATTTTTGAGAAAGGAAATTGAGTATTTAGGTCACGTGGTTACGGACAGAGGAATCAAACCAAATCCAAAAAAGATTAGTGCTATAAAATCATTTCCACTTCCAAAGCCTAGAAAACAAAGAAAATCATTTTTAGGTTTGCTCGGATGTTATAGAAAATTCATGTAAGATTTTGCTACGATCACCAAGCCCCTTGCTCAACAATTAAAAGATAAAGTTGAAGATTATAAAAACCTAGAATATCCGGATTTTTTAAAACACTTTACTGTTACGACAGACGCAAATAATGTGACACTAGGAGCAGTCCTTTCTCAAGGCCCACCTAGCAATGAAAAACCAGTATCATTTGCTAGTCGCACACTTACAGACACTGAATTAAAGTACTCAACCATTGAAAAAGAAATGATAGCCGTTATATGGGCTACTAAATATTTCCGCCCTTATCTAYATGTACAAAAATTTAAAATTAACACCGATCACAAACCACTAACGTGGTAAATAAATTTTAAAGAAACTTATTTTAAATTGGTTCGAAGCTGCAACTTTTTGAATATGATTATGAAATCTCATCTAAAAAAAGTTCTGAAAATGTAGTAGCAGTTTCACTTAGTCGCATTTCAGCGGAAGTACACACCAATATTTCTAAAGCAAATAACTGTAATGAAAAGACAAATGCAATTTTAACTGTAAATAAGCCAATTAATGAATACAATATGCAGATTATATTTAGAATTCATACAGATTCTCAAATAATAACATCAATCCCTTTGAAAAATAAAATAAGGAGAGTAGTCACGGATAGTTCATTTGATAATAAAAAAATAACAGAAATATTGAAAGCAATATTAAAACCAAATAAAGTATACGCTATTTTTGCTGCAGATGACATTTTCACTATCATTCAAGATGTACTAAAAGAATATTTCTTACCAACAAATCTTTACAAAATTGTAAGAGCTACTACAATACTGAAAAATGTTAGAAATATTGAAGAATTAATTATAGGAATACAAAATTATCATAGAGGCATATACGAAAGGGTAGCTCATTTAAATCATTTGCAGCTGGATTTCCAGCAAAGGATAGTCTGAACATAGTTAAAGCCATGAGAACTTTCCTTGTATTCTTCGGTACTCGGTACGCTACTTTTCACCGTTTTTGCTATATTTAAATAAGTAAGGAAGGGCTGAGTTCGGATGCAACCGAACATTTTATACTCTTGCAACTTGCAAGAATCAAAGACAGGGAAATACTTTTAAATGGAAAACCAATCAAGTAGAGTAAAGGCAGCCGGATGTTCGAAAACCCTGATAGTAATTATATAGGGGCTAGRTCAAGTTTTCGCTCAAATTTTTCTATTTTAGGCACAAAGATACACTGTTAAGAGTAGAGCACGTTCTTTTATTTACGTTAGGATAACTAACACATTGGCCGATATATGCGTTACAAAGTCACCCCGAAGTTCGAAACTTTTTATATTAGATATATGGGGCTAAGGGGAATATTGGTCCGATTCAACCCATTTTTGACATGCACGTTGACCGATATTTTCCATCAGAAGTCAACTGTACATGTATATGTACCGAGGTCTAAATATTTGGTACCTAGGGACTTGAAAAGTTGTTATTAGATTTAAGCAATTTGTGGTCACAAGGTGGCACACACTAAAGATATTATTCGTATTATAAATTCAATACCTTAAAATGTAATGTGAAAACGCGGTTTCTTTTTAAATGTTTTGGTTAAGTTATCACGTTTTAGATGTATCAAAATCGATCAGCACTAACTGCTGAACAAACAGCGAGAACTTAGTTGCGCACTTAATAATACTTCGGTCTGTGTTATAAATATGTCTAGCGAGTTTTAACAATGAATTTATTGGCTTTGACGATTTCATTTCCTCCTGACTATGGTCAAAGCCATTTGAGTCCTTTCCGCAATAAATAAAGGAACTTAAGAGATATCTTGTCATTGCATCAACTAGCGCTATTACCATTAATTCATATTGTGATGAACACGGATGATAAAAAAAACCGAATCGACAATCTCTCATAATAGTATCTTGCTTTTTGATTAATGGCGTTATCAGCGCCAAGAGGTAATTGTAAACTGCAACATCCATCCTTAGAAAGTTTTTGTAATGCTTTGGGCAAGATATTTCCAGTTCTTTTCTTACGCCCATCTTGAACCCAGGTTCGTTTTTTCTTGCCACTTTTTGCAATTTCTTCCTCTTCCTCCATTTCTAAAATTTCTTCAATCAGAAGAGCTGCCACTAATGCGCGTGCCATGTTTACTCGTTGAAAGCTGAACAAAAATGAAGTTCACACACATGCATGACCTTGTGAACGAAAACGCCAAACTTTTGCATCATGCCATGTTCGCGAACATGTGTGACCGTGTGAAGGCCGCTATTATGATATCTTGTAACTTGGGATTACAGGAAGTACTGAACAATATTATTAGGAAAATTTCAACTTAATACCAGAAATATAAACTTACCGATATATTTGGAAWACGATGAGTTGCACATTTGGCATTTTCTTACTATGATCCTTTACACCTAATTTACTGCTTCAACTTAATCTGTGAAGTGATGTACACATAGAGCGCGACACGACACGTGAACTGTTGTGGTTATAGCAAAGCACATACACGAAATAGTTACGATTATCAACAGGACAATAAYAGTAATAAGCGATTGGCTCGAAACTAACGGACTGGACCTAGCGGAGAGCAAGACCGAGGCGGTACTCATTACTGGCAGAAAAGTTCGGGAAGTTGCTACKTTCAGCATAAAGGGTGTAAGCATCACCACACAACCGGCAATAAAGTACTTRSGAATCATCCTTGATGCAAGGATGTCCTTTAAGGAACACTTAGAGTACATATGTGAAAAGGCTACAAAAGTGTGCAGAGGGTTGACCCGGTTAATGCYAAATACCCGCGGGCCAAAGCAAATCAGAAGACGACTATTAGCTGGTGTATTAAAGTCAGTCGCGCTGTACGGCGTTCAGATATGGGGAAAAGCCTTCCAAATAAAATCTTACCGCCGTGGCCTTTTTTCTAYRTATGCCACTTGCGCGCTGAGAGTGTGCTCTGCGTTTCGCACAGTATCGGAAGATGCTGCCCTAATAATCTCGGGCCTACACCCTTTAGACCTTTTGGCCAAARAAATCCAATGTCTTACAAATGRCAGGCTACCGCRTAATACACAGAAAAAAATKGCAAGGGCAGAGACGGTGAATCACTGGCAAAAACGCTGGCAGGGAAGCGAAAATGGGCGGTGGACATTCCGACTAATACCCAACGTTGAACCATGGCTAAACAGACCGCACGGCGAGGTAGATTTCCACTTAACTCAAATCCTYACAGGACATGGCTGCTTCAAAGCATATTTGAAACGTTTCGGACACGAAAATAACGACACATGYGATTATTGCGGAGGCGATACCGTCGAAAATGTAGAACACACATTCTTCTATTGCCCGAAATATAAGAATGAGAGGCAACACTTAAAAAATGCATTCGGTGTAGACCCAACTCCTGACAACTTGGTAAACTAAATGGTCGAAACAGTAGAGAAGTGGAAAACTGCTTGCGAAGTGGCAGCCAGGGTTATGAAATCCCAACGTGCTAGCGAACAGCGGCGGAGAAGAGAGCTGTTAAACGTAACGAACAACCACGACCTAAACACACTAACATTGACGTGATGGGAAGGGTTGGCGTCGGACAATGCAAATGCATCAGACCAACAGAGGAGGGGCCAAGTAAATGCAGCTTGTAACTGAATGCATTTTGACCATTATGTACGCATGAGTGTCACTCAACCATCCTCCCGACGTAATACTTGACGGTGGTACCGGGGGGAACGGTACAGGACGGTAGGAGGTTTAGTTCGGATTAAAGTTCCACACCGACATGGGGTCCAGGCTTTCGATGCTTCCTCCTCGTAAAACAAAAAAAAAAAAAAAAAACGACACGTGAACTGTAAATGGAGTCGTGAATCCTTCTACATGAACATTTGTAAGAAGGCAACGACATAACAATGGCTGGCATGTACACAAGATACACAAGACAGCACAGCTGTCCATTTTGTATGTACACATTTTCATTGTGGCCGCCTTTCCCTTAAATGAAATTTTAATATTTGGTTCAAAGTATTTTTTATGCAAAAAATAAGTAATTAGACAAATAWATTTGTAAAATAACGCCAGGTTTGAAAGAGCTTTGAATAATTTTACATATTACATATTAGTGGCATCACTCCTCTCTACTGTAGTCGTGCAGCTGTCTAAATAACTGTGTCCTTAAGAACGTATGGATTTTAATATTTGACAGATGGCGCTTGCAGTCTGCCCCGCTCTAAGTGTTCAATACTTGAGATAGTTATTTTTTCAATGAATGCAATACGCTGATTTTGCCCGTCCGTAATATTGACGTGCTTAGAGATTCAGGAAGAACATGAGGACAGATATAAAAGTCAAATAAATTTATGAATTTGTCTTCCACCAATTGTTTCTGTCAATGAATAAAAAAAAATCACAACTGCAACTTTAAGGGAAAGTACGCTTTGTTCGAAAATTGTTTTGAATGTTTTTAATAGCTCGTAAAGGTTTAAAGATAATGGGATATGTGATTATATTACATTTAGTAACATTTATAGTAATAGACAAATTCGTAGACTGTGAATGGTTTACTTTTATTTATGCTCACCAGTACAGTCACTTTTCGCCAAACAATGATAAACATTTGTTTAAATAGCTACATTAAAGAAAGCATCATTGAAAACTTCTCGTTTACTTTGCGCATGCCCTGAATTGAGACGTCATATGATTTGCATTTATTATCTATTAAAAATGTATGTAAACATTGACGCAGATATTTATGACGTAATTCTTGATATACATACACATAATTGCTAAAATCCAATCAATGGATAGTAAAAACTAAATCATTGTTCTAGTGCATGTATAGTATTTCAATAGTATGTAATTAAAACTACGCGCCCAGTCAAGCCCGATTTACAGTAATTTCGAAGTATTTTCACAAAATTTCAATCAATATGAATTAGGACGCCCCACCATTCAAATATTTTCAAACTTACATGCATGCGCCTTTCCATGCTCATATCTTAAAAACGTTGTATTTCAGGTTTAAATGTAATTGATGAGCTGAATGGCATGCTCATCAAACTTCTCCATTGGCAATTGAGGGTGCATCGAAAACGTCACGAGGTCTGCAACACTTCAAGTTTACATAAATAAAGTGCAGACTAAGACTAACAGTCAATGCGGTCAAGTTATTGGAATAGTGCTTAAGAGTTGTGCCCAAAAAAATTAGTGAAGTTTTAAAAGTTAGTATTCAAAACTACTTCAAATACAGAAAAAGTCAATTAAAACAATGAAAGCATGTGCAAAGTATTATAAACCTATGTATATATATATATATATATATTGATATATATAATTATAAATAAATTTAGTGGATAACACCGCAGTAGTAGTATAAAAACCCGTTTTTCTAAGTGTCTTCATACAAAACTATATTAGTGACTGCTTATAAATTATCACTATTTTACTAGAAATATTTTTGCCCTAACATATTCTTTACAACGCGTATATATTATATAATAGCATTTAGCGGTTTTTTCTATGATACTTCATATTATTTTATCATTATATATTTACCAAAAGTGTGTATACGATTAGGTGAATATTAACCTGTATATTAACCTGATCGTATACATATTTTGACACAATATTCTTAGCTTTCAGAAAAGGGCTAGATTTTTTAAAGGATATACATATGTATATATAAAAA